CGAGTCCCGATCGCCCACATGATGGTCGACCCATTCGCACAGCACTGCCAGCGCTTTATTTGTGGCCCATTTCTCTGTGAAGGGAATGGCATCTATGGGGCGACCCTTTTGCACACCACTGGCCAGCGCTGATATGATAGTGGCGACGGCCGGTGTCACCGACAACTGGTGGATAAGCCCCCGGAGGCTACACTCGGACACCACTCTGTCCGCACTAATGAATATTATTTTAATGCTGTCATCAATAGGAACGGTATTATCGCCCAGGGATGTCATAGTTTGATTAAATATGACTTTTAACACTTTATAAATAACTTTTTAATGTCGTGTAAATTTAATACGCTTTCCAGTGAATGCCAGCTATTTATACGTCGACTTAGAGATAATAGTACTTTAACTAAAAGGTTAGCCTACAGTACATAGTGTAGTGTTTGCGCATATTTTGTTTATAATTTCTAGATTAATTTGCGATATAATTTTGAGTAAATAAAGTATTTCTATAAATAAAGTTTAGGGTTATGTTGAGAAAAGTTGTAAAATACAGGGGAGAGAGGGAGGGAGAGAGAGAGAGAGAGAGAGAGATTACATAATTATATAGACATAGTAACAGACAGCATATGCGCATTCAATTGTTTTGTTTGGAAACTAATAAACATTTCGCAAACGGCCTTGAACAAATGTCAGTGGATGAAAATATTTAGAAGTATTCAATAATCAAAACTAAATCTCAACTCAATAACAAGTTGAAAATTTTTGGATATAATTAGTATAAACACGGTAAGCTATTTATATAAATTTAAAATTAAAATATAAACTTTAAATTAACATGTTAAAATAATTGAATATTTTTGAGGCAACGCCTATGTCTATGTCTATTTTTATCATACATAAAACTGTATTGTATATACCGGTAATGTATATTAATTTAATATTTTAACTAATATAAATAAATCTAAATTTTAGCCAACTAATTCACTAATTTTAAATTAGTAATTTATATGATTTTTGTAATTCTCTCAGAAGCAGAATTAACATTATAATAAATTTAATAATTATAATCTATCAATTTTTTTTATAACTAACCAGCCATAAATGTACATTAACTTTATAAATTGTCTATAAATAAATGTATTTGTTTATACCAGTACTGTACCAGAACATGGATAAAATACAACTAAAAGACCTGGATATTAGTCTGGAGGGCAACAAACGGAACTACATATCGGGCGACACAGTGTATGGTACGGTGGGCTTCACAGTAACCGGTGGGCAAATGGAGGTGT